GACAAAGAGCTGTAAGGCTCAGGGATGCATGGTTTGGGTGAGCTCCCGGGGCAGCCAGTCACTGACACAGACTTTCTATTCAGCTTTTTAAGTGTCCATGTGCGTTCTTTGGTAGACTTACATTGCAATGCTATGGATGACCTCTTAGTTTCAAATCTGCACTCCAAATCTGAGGGGGAAAAAAAAAAAAGAGGACAATACATGTCACAAAAAATAGAACTTAAAGAAAACATAAAAAACAAACTGTAAACAACTCACAATTTGAGTGAATAGTTACTGTTATGAAATTTAGTGAAAGAACTGTGAATGACACCAGTGTCGTGTTGTAGGCCTTGGGGATAAGGGCAATACATTAAATCAGCAGTTCCAGTGAAAGACCAGAGGCAGGCGTGGACTCTCATGCCCCGACTCAGGAAAGTCGGCGCCGCAAATCACAAGCATGGGTACAGGGATCAGACAGCTTTTATAGGGTTACAACAAAGCCCGGGCATCACAAACCAATCATCTCATAGCATCCAGTGCAGACCAATCAATTTGAACTATCCAAGCCCAGGAAGTCTGCTTTCTCTAGGGCTTCTGGGTAGTGTGACAAGGCTCATGTCCTGTTCTCATTCACTCACAGGTGCTGTCGGTAAACCGCCCTGTCCTGTAAACAATCAAGAATGACCTTTTGCTTACTCACTGCTAGGGGGCAGAGTCTAGGGAAAATTAGGCTAAATTTTTCCATCCTTACACCAGAATCGAAGTGTTACCCTGGTAAGTTTGTTGGTAAGCACTAACATTCAGAGTGTAATACAAACAAAAAGAATCAGAACCTTAGTGTTTTGAAGAGACCCTCCTAATGCAGGTTAGATAATCTTGCCTAGTAGGATGGTGCCCACCTATGACCTACAACATGACAGTACAGCATTGAGCCTTTCTCAGGATGAACATTTGAGCACAAAAATCATGTTCTGAGTTGACATACTTCAGTAAATGAGAACAATTAGCAAGAAGCCAAAACACAAGGTTGGTCCATTCAGACACATTCCCATAACTGTGGACTTGGATGGATTAGGTCCTTGTTTTCATTTTGGCAAGTGGTGCCGTCTATGCGCTGAGTTTTACATCGTGCAGTCAGCTGTGCTAAGGTCTGGGGCCTCTGACATTCCCCCCATTAGTCTTAGTGAATGAGTCAAATCATATCCTCATCCTGCTCTAAAGAGGCCTGGGCTGCTACAGGGGCCCATGTCTGGCTTCATGGTCCTGACGCTGTCATGGTCTGTGCTGATGTCTGAGGCTCCCCACCCACCCCTCACTGCCTGTGACAGGTGGGACAGCTGTCCCTGCCCCTCACCAGCTGCATCACTCAGGTGAGTGGCCCCTGCCCCTTGCCTGGGTAACACAGTAAAGCTGGCCCTGAAGGCATAGGTGTGGGAGAGGAGAGGAAGGTGTGAAAGCGAGCAGAACTAGCCCCACCCCTTGCTCATTGCTGCAATGTTGAAGCGATGTTGAAGAACTCACTCTGTTGGTGAGGGCTGACCAAGCCTGCAGCTGCCCAGGCCCAGAACCAGGGCTATGAGGCAGCCCACCCCATCATCCATCCCATCTATGATCTGCTGGGGACGTGAAGGGGTTGGTCCTGCAGACCCAAAGCTGCAGGGTCTCCACGACACAGGGCAAGAACAGGAAATCCAAGAGGAGTCCCAGTGAGGGCCCGGCAGCGACAACGTAGCAGACACCAGGGGCCTCAGATGAAACCAATGAACTCTTTGCAATGAGCACTTGCAAGATATGTGGACAAAAGGATTTACTGCGCGACTGTGTCACACTACAGCTTCCGTGACAAGAATTTCCCTTTCCTTTCCTTTTCTTCTCTTCTCATTAATTTTATTTTACGGGGTGGGGGGGGGGAGGGTTGCAAGGGCAGAGGACAGACATGAAGGGAAGGGATAAGAAATGAATGAATAGTATAGAGACGTATAATGTAAAAGACAAAGAATAAATAAAAAGAGAGTTTAATAAACAACTTGTAAGCAAAAGAAATGTAACTGAGAAAGTGACAGGGTTATATGTATATCCTTTGTAAGAGCCACCAAGGTGTGTCTGTGCTGTGGAATGATCCCCTTGTACATTGTAAAGAGTTGTCATACTTGGTTGGCAGATCTCTAGCCAGCCAGGACTATACACAGTGAGACACCAGCCTCAAATTTTTGCTTCTCAAAAATGTGCCAGGTGTGGTGATACATGCATGCCTTTAATCCTTCTGCCTTAGAGACAGGGGCAGGTATATCTCTGTGAAATCAAGGCCAGCCTAGTCTATAAGTGAGTTCCAGGACATCAAGAGCTACACAGTGAGACCTCTCTCTCTGTCTCTCTGTGTGTGTGTGTGTGTGTGCGCGCACACACACACACACACACACACATGCACGCATGTACACCTGTATATGCCTGCTGGCAGACATCCTTTGGTGCCCCATCTCTGGAGCGGTCTGTCCATCTTGAGATCTGGGGCTTGCTAACTCAGCTAGGCTGGCTGGTTTAGAGAATCCCAAAGATATTCCTGCCTGCCTCTCCAGCACTGGGATTACAAGCATGAACCATCCCATGTCAGATTTTTTTATGTGGGTATTAGGATTGGACTCAGGTCCTCATGTGTGGTGATATATTTGTGATTTATTAAAGTTTGCATAAGGATTCAGAAAGCAAAGTCAACCTCAAGCTATAGAGACCGGGCAGTGGTGATGCACACCTTTGATCCCAGGACTCAGGATTAAAAGGTAGATGAATCTCTGAGTCCAAAACAACCCTGGGCGGCAGGAGGGTGAATCTGAGCTCACGCCTTTAATTCCAGGATTTGACATCCTGGGAGAATTAGTCTCTAGCCATGTTGAGGAGAGCATAGTCTGACTGAATCTGAGAAGCAGTGAAGTCGGGAGCAGTCTGAGGATCGCCCCTTTGGTCTGAGCTGTGGTAAAGGTGAGAGCTAGTGGCTGGCTGCTTTGCTTTTCTGATCTTCAGCTTGAAGCTTAAACCCCAATATCAGTCTCTGTGTCTTTTATTTACCATGTTATACTCATGCCTGTGCAGCAAGCACTTTAGTGCCTAATAATAGTTATAATGCTAAAAGTATAAGCAATTAGGTCAACTCGTGTTATGGAACATTTTCTCAATGAGACTATTAACTATACCCCCCCCAAAAAAACATAGTAAAATATATATATACATGTAAAGCATTTTTTAAAGATTTAGGAAAGAAATCTACTATGAACACTTTCAGAAAATAAGTTTGGATAATAACAGTCCAGCACCAAAAAAGAAAAAAGAAAGAAAGAAAAGAAAATGAAGTTAGGCTATAAAGTCTTATCAGTTAAAATCTTATTTCATCAATATACTGACACATTTTATAGCAATCCTGTAGTGATATTTTGTTTATGATCTAGCAAACAAAGTTTGCCTGAAGATCAGAATGCACACCAGTCAGCCACAGAGGCAGAGCAGTGGTGGTACACACCTTTAATCCCAGCACTCAGGAGACAGAGGCAGATGCTCTCTGTTAGTTCAATGCCACCCTGAGCTACACAAAATTGATCCAATTTTAAAAAGAAACAGAGCTCACACAAAGGTGACCTCGGCAGGTGAGGTCCCACGCTTTTAATCCCAGCACTAGAGAGGAATATAAGGTGTGGGGGGACAGGCGCTCAGTGCCGTCTGAGGTTTGGTGGAGACAGATGCAGTCTGGAGATGCAATCTGAGGACAGGCTCGCCCTTCTGTCTGAGCCTTGGTAGAAGTGAGAACTCTCTAGTGCCTGGCCACTTTGCTTCTCGAATCTTCAGCTTTAACCCCAATATCTGTCTCTGGTTTTTTACCATTAATACCAAATAGAATCCGTGCTACATACTCCTAAAAAAAAAAAAAAAAAAAAAAAAAAAAAAGCCTATACAGTTGGGATTAAATACCCACTTTCAGGTTGAATATTGTTTGGTCCAAAATACTCAGTGTAGCTTTATCAATGCCTTTTCCCACAGAATGACCTATTAATACATCATATCGAATTAGATTATTAGAAAATCATCCATAAATACAGGACTTCTAAAACGGTCATTGGAACCCTATTCCTGGAACCTCAATACACCATCTTCTCTTGAATTCTACTTTGGGGCAATTCTAAGAGCTCCATAATGAACACAAGGCTGGGGTATTTAGGTCTGAACCTTCATTTGCGGCTCCAAATGTCAACTTCCCCTTTAAACGCTATGTCACTATATTCTGTGCAGTATGGCTACCTGGTGAAATGACAGACGCAGTGACAGAAAATGCAGGGCGCACATTCCAAGAAACCATGGGACTTCTCATGGCATCCCTGCACTCCTTACCCGCGCCCAGATGTACTGTATGCTTTCTGCGTATTACCCATGGGAAAGGCAATGTGGACAGACTGAAACGAGAACGCAAGAGAGACCACGTCTCGTGGCCTTCCCAACAGTCTCCCGAGGATCTCCTGAGCATCATTCTCAGCCTAGAACTGTCGGAATGAAACCACGCCACCCAAAGTGAAAGAATGAGGTGGGGGCCTACATTGGGCCCATTTTGATCAATGCATAAGTGCTGTCACAAGATCAAGTGGTCACAGTATGACATCGTCGCAAACAGCGCAGTCCCGTTCAGTCACCCAAACCTAATCAGAGCTCCCCTCTGTGCACACCCCACGCCGAGGCAGCTCCCACGAGCCATCACACAGACCCTCGCGAGCAGACGACAGCCCAAAGTCCCACACGCCCCTTTCGCGGTCCAGGAACTTGGAAGAACCGCGTCCCCTAGGACTCGGGTCAGCTCAACTCAGCACACAGGGAAAAGAAAAAGGAAAAGATGATCCCAACGCCAGAGGAAGGTGACCCCGAAGCCGAGCTTCCAGGACTGGCCTGGGTGGAACTAATTCAGGCCCCAGCGGGACATTGGTACAAGCGCTGGGCGAGTGACTGGCGCCCAGCATCTAACGGGCTGCCCCAGAGGCTCCTGGGAGTGCGAGCCCCCGGGGTGTGTGCGCAGGCGCAGACGGCTAAACCGCGGCAGGGGGGTGAGGCTGCCGGGTGCTGGGGCGTCTGGAGAGGCTGAGGACCGTAGTGGATGATCCGGATCCCGAGAGCGACAGAGAGAACGAATCCAGATGGGGAGGCCTGGGAGGAAACCGGCAGGCAGAGCCGGGCCTGGTAATTTGGGGGGCAAGGAAGCAGGACCGGACACTCAGCCATAGCAGGGCCTCGGGCGTGGTCCGTGGGCGTGACCCTGAGGATGACTGCTGGTGACCCGGAGGCTGCAGGGGTAGTTTGCGTGCTTAAGCGCTCGGAAGCTGGGAGCAGGACGCTGAGCAGCCTGAGCGTTGCTCTGAGGATGTGGGGTGCATGTTGGGGTTTGTCTCCCTCCCTTCACCCTGCTTATGGATTTTTTTTGGGGGGGAGTGCAGCGGAGGGGAGGCGAGTGCGATCTCCTTGGATGTGTGAAAGATGGATGGTGGAGTCTTGCTTAGGGTTACTGCGGCATGCGTCTATTTTTAGATTAGGTGTGACTCGTATTTGAGACAGGAGAATTGAAAGTGATCTGCGAACGTGATTGGGAGTGACTTTGCCTGGAACTGTATCGCCGTCAGTGGTCGTGAACGACAGCTGAAGCTGTTAGTTTGGTGGTTTGCTGAAGGATGTTTGAAAGGTTATCACTAGGCGCGTGTGTTTTCTTGTTGTTTCTCGTGGTTTTATGTCTGTAGTACCCTTACTATTTAAATGAATGAGGTATGCTGTATGATCTCAAATGTGTACAGTTTTTTTTAAAGACAGATTCATTATGTAACCCAACTGCAAGGATTCAGTAAGGTGTGTGCACCACCAAGCCTAAGAGTTGTGTACTGTTTGATTATCAGATTAGCAGCCAGCCAGTCTAAGTAGATTTCTAAGTAGTAACTTAGAAAGTATGATGGCACTAATGTTGGAAAGGAATAGGTAAGATGTTTAAAATCCCCAGTGGCGAGGCCAATTACCTGGAAGCATGAGGTTAAATAAGAACCGTGTTGAAATGATTGGGCTTGCATGGGAGCCTGCAGGAACAGGAAGGGTAGCACTTTTCACTCGTAACTACCACTTTCCACACATTTGTGTGAGCGGATTTTTTTTCTGTTCCTGAAAATCATACAAAAATATTTATCAAGCTTTTATTTCTAAGGCCAGCCTCATCTTAGTCCTCAAGCCAGAATATTCACGGTAGCGGTCAGTGCTTCAGACTTTGCTTAGCCAAATGAGAGCCAGCAAATTGGCAAGAGTGGTTACTCTCTTTTCCGTGTCCATATCTCTATGAATAAAATGTGTCACGCAATTCTTACTTCTTAACTCTAGTAAGAAATAATGTTTATATACGATGTTTAGATAACTATACTTTTAAAAGATTTCTTTTCCATGTGCATGAGTATACTGTGCCACGTGTCTAACCTGGTGCCCACAGAGGTCATAAGAGGGCACACTTCCTCACCACCAGCGGAGCTAGAGTAACCAATGTCTATGAGCTGCCATGTAGGTGCTGGGTACTGAACCTAAGTCCCCTACAAGAACAGCAAATGCTCTTAGTCACTAAGCCATTCGCCAGCCCCTAACTATACTTCTTAATAGTGTGATACAAGTAAATCAATAAGGGCATGAAATGAAAAGTAGAAAATCCAGGTATTTTCAAGCTATGGGGCTATGCTTCAATACGGGATGTGACATGTGATAAAGATGGCATTTACAATCCCAGCACTTGGGAGCCAGAGGCAGGCCTGGTCCAGAGAGTGAGTTCCAGATCAGCCAAGGGTACACAGACAAACTCTGTCATGGGGAGAAAAAAAAAAAAAAAAAAGATAGACTTTACGGTTAGTCGTGGAAACATTGATTATACAATGTGAGACATAAATAAACACAGTTTACAGGAGGAGGTTCTCATGATTTGAAGTCAAATAAGAGAAATGTTTCCATCTTGAGTAGAAAAGAGGGTCTGAGAGTATAATTCAGTGGTAGAACACAGGGGAAAAAAATAATCAGAAGATGGAGTCAGTCAATTAGAAAATACCCATGGCAAAGGTATAACAACCCAAATATGATTACAAGAAAGGGGAAATGTTAAACATATTAAAGGAAGCTTATCATAATAAGAAATATATAGGGGGCATATGCCTTTGATCACAGCACTGGAAGGGCAGAGGCAGGCCGATCTCTGTGAGTTCAAGACCATCCTGGCCTACAGAGTGAGGTCCAGGACAGGCTCCAAAACTACACAGAGAAACCCTGTCTCAAAAAACCAAAAGAAGAAAAAGAAAGAAATACATACCTTTAGACAATAGTACAGAACTGATCAAGATAAAGGCTTGTGACCCGCATGCATGGGGGCTTGGGAGGGCAATGGCATGCACTGCTGGTGATGGTACAGGCAATGAGAAGAACACGAAGTAATGGTTTGGACAGTGCTGAGCAAAGTACCTGGAGTCTTGCTTACGCTAGCAAGTGCTGTACCACTGAGTCACGGCCCCAGACCTGTTCAGTAAACAGAGCGCTAAACAAAATGTTGCATTTGCAAGCTACAGCAGGTTTCCACGGAATCCATCCTAGCTCAGCAAGAGATGGGGCTTCTGATTTGGGAGGAAAGCAGGACTTGGTTGCTTCTCCACAGCCCTTTGTCCTGGGTTTCGGAAGTGCACACACAGAAGTCGTGTGTGGAAATGTGTGCAGATCTAACTGAGTTATTCCCAGAGATCTGATCGGAGCCTGTTTTCTTCCTGGCTCCTTACGAACCGCCATCTTTGCCTTTACAGGACTCTTTCCTTTTCCGAAAGAAGAGCCAAGACAACAGGGTTCGCCTCTCACAAATCTCAAAGGCATGTCTAAGGTGAGATATCTCCTTTCTTTTCTTTCAGGAGACAGGAACATTTGCTTAGCAATGTTGCTTCAGCTGCCTAGATATTAGAATTTGCTGCCGTGAAACATTTTTCAAGTTAGGGTCAGAGTCTCTAGTTAAGGTCCAGATTGGAGACACAAGTGACATTGAGCTATATATTTAAGGGAAGTGCCTTCCCAAACTTTCTCCTGTAGATGGCTCGCTGATTCCAACGCTAGTATTCCAACCAGACAAACTTAAGCCTTCCCCCAGTTATGGGCACTGTTCTTTATATTTCTCATTGACCTGCTTTGTCCATCTCTTTACAGAAGTACTGCTAAAATAAAAATTATTGTCTTGATTTAGAGAGACATAAATTATTGTACTTGAATAAATCCCATTTTATCTTGGCACTGACTTTCGATCTAAGTTGTGACAGACGGGGTAGGAGGGAAAACTGTTAGGTCACATGATTAGTTTGTGGGAAGATGTCCCATATGGGAGTGTTTCAGGGTGGACATTTGAGCATGAACTGGTACGGAAAACCGAGGCTACGCATCTCACCATGGTGACGCACATGTCATCCCAGCACATGGGAGACGGTTAAGAGGGTCCTGATTCCACGCTGGGGTTCCAAAGTGAGACCTTGTAAAAGACAACGGTGTTCAGAATTTTGTTTTATTTTTTTAAGACTGTATATTAGAATAATATTTTAAGGTGTGTTACTTCTGTTCATGCAACATTTGTGTAATGATGCAAAGATGTGTTTGATTAAATAAAATTGGCCTGCAGTCAGGAGGTTGAGTCAGCAACTAGCTGACAGGAAGTGGTAGGGAGGAGCTGGGTGCAGAAGGGTTTTTAAGGAGGGGCAGGGAGCAGCCCGAGGACTTCAGGAGAGACCAGGTGAGCTGTACTTGTCATTCAGCCTCTGCGAGGAGCAGAATTCAGCCTCAGCCTTTGAATCTTGAGTTCTTTAGAGGGGCAGAGATTTAGATAAGTTCCCTTCATAGCTTTGAAAGAGTTGGTGCCTGGGGAAACAGAATTCCCTCCGGCTTTGGTTCTTGTGTGGTACAAACGATAAAAACCCAGAGACAGGTATTAGGAGGGTTCAAGCTGAAGATCAGAAAAGCAAAGCAAGGCTCAGACCAACTAGGGGCAGCCCTGTCCTTAGCATGACTGCAGCCTGCAATGCCCCCCACCAAACCTCAGACTGCACCGAGACTGCACTGAGCTCCTGCCTTAAATCCCTCTCTGGTGCTGGGATCAAAGGTGCGAGCTCTGTTTCTCTTTTAGACTGATTCACTCTCATGTAGCCCAGGCTGGCCTTGAACCCACAGAGATCCATTTGCCTCTGCCTCCCAAGTGCTGGGATCAAAGGCATGTGCCACCACCACCCAGCTAGATTTCTTTATGTGTGTGTGTGTTTTGCCTGCATGTATGTATGTGCCTGGTGTCCATGGAGGTCAGAAGGAAGTGTCCATCCTTTGGAACTGGAGTTACAAACAGGTATTAGCTGCCATGTGGGTGCTGGGAACTGAACCCAGGTCCTCTGTAAGAGCAATAAGTGCTCTTTACTACTGAGCCATCTCTCTAGCCCCTTCTCTAATTGTCTATTAATTCTTGTCTTCCAGAAATTCCAACCAACTGTGACCTACCAGGGGAAACGTGCTCAGTATTCAATACTGTTATAGGTTTCTTTTTTCTGTCTTCTAAAACTTTACTTGCAGAGGAGGACAGGCATGTGCTAGTCTCCTCTTGGAGTAGCCTGTCCTTGTCCTGTCTTCATAGTTTTCTTTCATAAGATCCCTCATCTCCCAACCTTTCAAGTATCGGTTTTCCCCAAGAATTAATTGGTTCACTTTATTACATCCTTGTTTTCTGTATGCACAATCACATTGCTCAGTAAGACTACGTGTAATTTGATTCTGTGACTATCACGTACATCTGTCCATGCTAGACATCTGTCTAGACAGAGCATCAGAACCATAGATTCAACACGCAGGGGCTGGGATTTAGCTCAGTCAGCAGTGTTGCTTAGGGTGTGTAGAGCTCCTGGCTCCATTCACAGCACCACATTAACAGAGCGTGCTGGCACAGATCTATATTCCTAACATTCTGAAGATGGACAAGGGAGGGTCAGTAGTTCAAGGTCACCTTCAGCTCCATAACAGGTTTGAGGCCCACTCTCAAAAACAAACTGTAATAATCACTACCTCCCCATTCCACGCACACACACCCACACACATGCACACACGTCAGTTCCTTTATGACCTTCTGTGATCCAGCCTGTTATTTCCTTGGTGTCCTGTTTTAGTTTTCCTCTCTTTCTTTTTTTGTTGTATCCGAGGCTGGCCTTGAACTTGCAGCAGTCCTGCATCTGCCTCCTGAGTGCTGGGACTAGAGGCATGCACTACTACAGTCATCTCTTATTACACTCGCCCAGCTCTCACATACTTACTATGCCCATAGCCCAAGAGCTGTGCCTCTCCTCTTCATTCTACAGGCGGTTATAACCAGTTCTCTCGGAACCAGTGGCCCTGCATTAGTCCACTAATCTCCAACAGTGGCTACCTTCTCCAGTCTTGAGGAATACTACCTCCAGTAGCCAGAATGGCGGCACACACCCACAGTCCGGCTTCAGGGAAGCTGAGGTGGGGGAGACCGTGAGCCAGACTTGGGGTTGGTTTGTTTGTTTTTAAAGAACATTACCATGGAACATGTATTGTTTCTTCATGTTTAGTTTGCATTCCTGTGTGTGCATGCGTGTGTGTGTGTGTGTGTGTGTGTGTGTGTTAATGTGGGTGCCTGTGGAAGCCAGAAGAGGCCAGCAAATGCCCTGGAGCTGGGGTTAGAGGTGGTTGTGAGCTTCCAGATGTGGGTGATGGGACCCAAATTCTGTCTAGACCTCTGGAAAAGAGGCAAGTGCTTTTAGCTGCTGAGCCATCTCTCCAGCCCACTTCGTGGCCAGGCCTGTGTGCATTGCAGTAGAATATACAAGATCATATATTGGAAAGAAAAGAATCACTAAGTGTGCATTCAAGAGTAGTAGCGATTAACTGTGTAAATTGATACTAATGTTTATTGATGGTTTATCAATGCCAATGAATATGTTGGAAATGTGATCAAGTTCATTTTTTATTATTAAAATTTTTTGTTAGTTTTTGAGACAGGATCTTTCTGTGTAGCTCTGGCCATCCTGGAACTCGATATATAGACCATGCTGGCTTTGAACAAGCAGAAGTCCACCTGCTTCTGCCTCCCAGGTGCTGAGATTAGAGGTATCCCATAATTTTTAAAAAACTAGTGCCTTTTATTTCTACAATAGAGATTTATTCTAAGTACAAAATTGTGTGTGCTCAATGAAGTTTCAGATTACAAAATGAAAGTTTGCTCTACTTTGATGCATTTCCTTCGTATATTTTCCCTCAGTTTTTGATACCTATTGAGTGAATGCTTCACATATGCCCCTCCCTACAACTTCTCATGAGTGGAACCAAAGTTTTATCACTTTTGGTCTACCAGTTAACCGTTAGCATTTAGGACTAAATGTGTGGGATAAGATTATTTATATTTTTAACCTAAGATAAAAGGCCAATAGTACTGGATGTATTTTTAGAAAGAAAGAAAGGAGAGAGTTTGTGTGTGTGTGTGTGTGTGTTTACATGTGTTTGTGAGCACGTATGAATGTGTGACTGTGTATGTAGCACAAACAGCACAGGTAAGGGACTGGAGAGGAGGTCCAGTGATTAAGAGTACTGGTTGCAGAAACCAGGTTGGTGGCACACACCTTTAATCCCAGCACGCAGAGGCAGGGCCAGCCTGGTCTACATAGTGAGTTCCAAGACAGCCAGAGTTACACAGACAGACCTAGTCTTAATCCTCCTTCCTTCAAAAAAAGATCACTGAGTGCTCTTGCAGAGGTCGTGGTTTGGTTCCCAGAACCCACATAGGGGGGTTCAACCAGCCTGTCACTCCAGTTCCAGGGGACCTGACACCTGCTCCTAGCCTCCTCAGACACTGCAGCCATGTGGTAAACATACTGTACCCAGGCAAATACTTACATAAAATAATCATAAGCAAACAACCCCCCAAACAGACAAATCCTTTTAAAAGATGAAGTTTTAAAACTAGTTCACCTACTGATCATCCCCAGCCTAGTCCCCAACATGTAGTTGTAAATCGTTTCCAGTAACTTCGGGATGAACTGCCACAGTGTGCCCTTGCAGGGATCAGTGTCATTCAAGGATGTGACTGTGGACTTCACCCAGGAGGAGTGGCAGCACCTAGGTCCGGCTCAGAAGGCCCTCTACAGGGATGTGATGTTAGAAAACTATTGCCACTTCATCTCTGTAGGTAAGTGTCACTCACATCCTTTCAAGAACTCCGAAATCAGGTCCTGATGCTTGAGCAGCAGAGATGTCTCCTCCGCCCAGTGTGACTCTTTTGTTAGCAGAATTTACAATTTGTTTCTGAGACAGAGTCTCTTTCTACTTAATCTTGGCTGTTCTGGGGATTGCTACATAGACCAGGCTAGCCTTGGACGCACTAAGATTCTCCTGTGTCTGCCTCCTGAGTGCTGGGATTAATGGTGCGCACCACCGTGCCTGGCCCAATAAACGATGTTTTAGACTTATTTAATATATATGAGTATTTTACCTGCAGATATGTGAGCCATGTGTATGCCTGATACCTGCAGAGGCTGGAAGAGGTTGTCGGATCCCCTGGAACTGGAGTTAAGGATAGTTGTGAGCTGCCATGTGGGTGCTGGGAATTGAACCTGAGTCCTCTGGAAGATCAGCCAATGTTTCTAACTGCTGAGCCAATCTCTTCAGCCCCAGAATATAGGATTTTTGTTGTTATTGTTTTTTTTGTTTGTTTGTTTTGTTTTTTTTTTTTTTGAGACAGGGTTCCTCTGTGTAACTTTGGAGCCTGTCCTGGAACTCACTCTGTAGACCAGGCTGGCCTCAAACTCACAGAAATCCGCCTGCCTCCCAAGTGCTGGGATTAAAGGTGCGCACCATAGAATATGTGATTATTAACTTTGGGAAGACATTAATTTATACCCCAGGTACCACTGCGAAGTTGTGTCTTTCTCAGTAGTTTAGATCAAGTCTCTCTTTCCTTTTTTCCCTTCCTTCCTTCTTTCCTTTTTCTCCATCACCAGGATTTCACATAACAAAGCCTGATATGATCCGCAAATTAGAACAAGGAGAAGAGCTATGGACGGAGAAAATTTTTCCAAGTCAAAGCTATCTAGGTAAGTTATAGGTATAAAAATTCTGTGGGATAGACGAAGGCATAGCTCAGCACTAGAGCACCTTAGACAGTCCAGGGCCTGGGTTTCATTTCCAGGGCTTCGTAAGAAAACAAAGGTCTGCCTGGCGGGGTGGCAGTGTTGTAACATGATGACAGTGCTGATGGCTGCAAAGAAAAGAAAAATGTGTACAGTTCATGCTTAAAATGCTACAGATGGCGAATCGTACTTCACTGCACTTCTAAAATAGATACCCGGATATTCAAAGCTGTCCAATACCCGAGATCCATTCAGCACCTGGAGGACTTTTTGTCCTGGAACTCGCTCTGTAGAGCAGGCTGACCTTGACTCACAGAGATCCTCCTGCCTCTGTCTCCCAAGGGCTGGGGTTAAAGGCGGCCAAGGGAGCCAGGGAGTTACCTCTTCCTAGAGCTGAACCCGGAATGAAGACTAGAATCCCATTTCTTTTTCTTAGAGGCATGGGCCGCCATGCCCAGTTCTGAGAATCCCTTTCCACCAGTCTTGCACTGGTGTCCGCGAGTGTTTGTTCATAAAGAAACTGTCTTCACTCTTGGTTCTCTGTTTGAATATATATGGATGGGTGCTCGATCTGCGTGTACAACTCTCTACCAGAAGAGGGCATCAGATCTCACTATAGATGGGTGTGAGCCACTGTGTTGGTGCTGGGAATTGAACCCAGGTCCTCTGGAAGAGCAGCCAGTGCTCCTAACTGCTGAGCCATCTCTCCAGCCCAGTGGAACTAACTGTCTTAACTGTCAGTTCTTGTCTTTGTAAAAGTCCTGTGACTGATAATAGTCTGACCTAGTCTCACATTGGGATTTCTTTTTTTATACATAAATAACTTCAGGTAGATATTTCAGCCTTTTTCTCTCACTGTAGTGGCATATTTTTTTATAATGGCATATTTTAATTTGATAGGAAAGCAGCATGATTAAGTTAGATATTTCACATATATAGCAGCCATGTTAAAATGCCAGTTGTTTGGGCCTGGAGACACGGCTCAAAGGTTCAGAGAATGCATTGCTCTTGAGAGGACCCAAGTTTGAGTCCCAGCACCCATTATCGGGCAGCTCATAGCTAGCTGTGGTCACCGCTCTGTTTGGCAGTGTGAACCTGGGAGAGAACCGAAAATGAGGCAGACCGAAGCCTCATGCCGTAGCCAACTTTATTCAGAGCACCAGACAGTTTATACTCTGAGGGTTAAGCCAGGTCATGGGAGCAAAGCTCACTGGAGTTCAAATTGTGTACAGTCACAAGGGCAAGGTCACGTGAGTTGAGGCCAGGTACACTGAGGAGGACCACTTGGAAACATCATTCTGAATAATGACAGGTAAAATGATGGGAAATCTGAAGTGAACCAACTCCTATTTACCACACCTGGGAAGGGCAGGAAAGCACATTCTGATTAGCAACCCATGTTACGGAGGAACAGAGGTCACAAGACTCTTGTTTACCTGGGGTTTGCTCACAAGTACTCAGACATCTCACACAGATTAATTCATGGACCATATTCTGATGCCTGTACCTCCAGTTCTAGGGGATCTGATGCCTCCAACTTCCTTGATCATTTGCATTCATGTGTATACACACACACACACACACAGAGAGAGAGAGAGAGAGAGAGAGAGAGAGAGAGAGCGCACATGTGAGAATATTTAAAATAACAGGAGCCAGGCATGGTGGTGCACACCTTTGATCCCAGCCCTTAGGAGGCAGAGGCAGGTGGATCTCTGTGAGTTCAAGGCCAGCCTGGTCTACAAAGAGAGTTCCAGGACAGCCAGGACTGTTATACAGAGAAACCCTGTCCAAAAAAAAAAAAAAAGAAAAGAAAAGAAAAGAAAGAAAAAGAAAAAAGAAATAATAAATAACAGGCATTTGAAATGGACAATAATTTTATTCCAACTTCAAGAAATACTTTTCTGATTCTCCGCCCCCCCAATTTCAGACTTTGTGGCTAGCAGCATGTCCCTGCAGGTCTTTGAGGTTCTTAGGGAGGTACTATAAGTCCACATTCTAATATGAACAAATTTTCAGTTTTTAGAAGTACAGCAGAATTTACTTGCATAATTTTTACACTCTAAATAATATGTGAGCTTCATCTGCCATCAATCATTGTGTACTGCAGTTTACCCCCATCTCTACCAAAGGCTAGGTACAGAAGGAGATCCTGTGTCCAAACAACCCCATTCAATGCCTTTGCTGGGTCTACTACACTCTGCATGAATCTACCCATTTTAAAACCTTCCGTCAGAGCGTTCGTTTTCTGTTTCTTTATCCTTGCATGTATTATACTTTTTCTGGGCAGCTTATAAAACTTCGACTTTATTTTCCAAGGGTGTTTTCCCCCTAATTTAATGGCATACCAGGTCTGGGTTTGTTTCCTCGGTTCCCCACATTAAATGTAAGCGGCAGTTGGAATGCTTGCCCACCATGGTTGAAGCCTTAGCTTGAATACCCAGCACTACACTGTGGAGAGTGGTGACGCATGTCTTTAATCTCAGCACTTGCCAAGTGTGTGAGGAGAAGGACCAGAAATCAAAGCCACCCACCTTGGCTACATAGCAAGTTCAAGACCAACACCTACATGAGACCTTATCTGAAAAACAAACTAGAAGAGGTTCATCCTATTCTTTTTGCAAACCATAATAACAAGATATCAAACGTTTTGTGTGTGTGTGTGTATTTTATATTCATTGCTTTTATGTATAGATATAGAGACTTAAATTATTACTAATTACTTATATTCTTTTCTAGAAGATGAAGATGTTTTGGTGAAGTTCAAAGACTGCCAAGACAAGCGTTCTAAATCCATTGTAGTCATCAACCACAAGAAACTAATTAAGGAGAGAAGCAGTGTTTATGGGAAAACACTTACACTAGGCAAGAAACATATTATTTCCAAAACACTGTGTGAATACAAATCTGATGGGAAAGTCTTGAAAAATATTTCAGAATTCATTAATAGAGATATAAACCCTGTAAGAGAGAAATTCGGTGATAATGGATGGGAGAGATCAATCCTGGATTCCAGGCATGAGAAAACTCATGCCGAAGCCATCCTCCGTAAGCAAATACAAAGGGGTCTAAGTCCCAAACAGCTGGCTCAGCACCAGGTGACCCAGATTCCTGGACAGCCATTTGAATGTACCGCATGTGACAGCGCCTTCCTTATGAGAGGAATGGTGTTTGCAAACAGCAGAGCTCACGCGGGAGACGTGGGCTTCAACTACGAGGATGGCGTGGCTTTTTTAGAAAAGTCGGGCCTTGGCATTCATCCACATAGTCTAATGGAAAAGAGATCCTCCGCATACACCAAATACGGGAAGTCCCTTTGCAGAAAGCCAGTCTTCCTCATGCACCCCAGAGCTCCGATGGAGGAGAAGCCCTTCCAGTGCCCTTACTGTGGGAACTGCTTCCGCAGGAAGTCCTACCTCATTGAGCATCAGCGGATCCACACGGGCGAGAAGCCCTACGTGTGCAGCCAGTGTGGAAAAGCCTTCCGTCAGAAGACAGCCCTGACGCTTCATGAAAAAACCCATACGGAGGGGAAGCCCTACCTTTGTATGGACTGTGGGAAGTCCTTCCGCCAGAAGGCGACCCTCACCCGACACCACAAGACGCACACGGGCGAGAAAGCGTACGAATGCGCGGAGTGCGGAAGTGCCTTTAGGAAAAAGTCATACCTCGTGGACCACCAGAGGACTCACACCGGGGAGAAGCCCTATCAGTGCACCGAGTGTGGGAAGGCGTTCATCCAGAAGACGACCCTCACTGTCCACCAGAGGACTCACACCGGGGAGAAGCCCTACATCTGCACCGACTGCGGGAAGTCCTTCTGTCAGAAAACAACTCTCACCCTCCACCAGAGAATTCACACCGGGGAGAAGCCCTACGTCTGCACCGACTGCGGGAAGTCCTTCCGCCAGAAGGCCATCCTCACCGTCCACTACAGGATACACACGGGAGAAAAGTCCAACGGCTGTGCCCAGTGCGGGAAAGCCTTCAGTAGGAAGTCAAACCTCATTCGCCATCAGAAAACTCACACGGGAGAAAAGCCCTATGAGTGTAGGGAATGCGGCAAATTCTTCAGTTGTAAGTCAAACCTCATTGCCCACCAGAAAACGCACAAGGCAGAAAGTGTGGCAGTTCAGTGAGTCGCGTGGTTTGTTTGTTTGTTTGCTTTTTTAGGTTTTGTTTTGTGTTTGGGGGGGTTGTTTGTTTTGTGTTGGGTTTTGTTGGGTTTTTCTGTTTGTCTTGGGTTTTTTTGTTGTTTGTTTGTTTGTTTGTTTTGAGACAGGGTTTCTCTGTACTGTTTTGGAGCCTGTCCTGGAACTCGCTCTGTAGACCAGGCTGGCCTTGAACTCACAGAGATCCACCTGCCTCTGCCTCCCCAGTGCTGGGATTAAAAGTGTGCACCACCGTGCCCTGCAGATTTTATTTTATTTTGGTACTGTTTTCAGGTCCTATTCCTTACATTTACTACTTGTTAATCTACCACACACACAAATACTATTGGATAAATTAAATGACAAAAAATGGAAAATAAAGGCTTCAATTGTGTATTCCTGGATTCAGTGGACTAAACTGGTCTCTGATGAACTACTATAAACATTCAAATTTGCTTATTTTCTATCTCATGAGATTTATTTCTTGTGAATCAGTAACAGATCAATAGCCAAATGCAACTTGTCTATATGAAATGAAAATCGTTACCTCCTCAGCATTGACCACGGTTCTGACTTAGAACATTGTAAATTAGGTTCCACACATTATAAACCTTCATATACGATTGGATTGTTTACCTTCCGTTCTTTCCTTCACAGCTTGTTTCACACATTGTCTCTGAGTTCAGTCATGAGTGCACGTGGCAGAAGTCCATTTATTTTATTCTGTATAGAATTCCATTACATACGTATATCACTTTTACCCATTCTGCTACCAATGGACTTTTGTGGTGTTTACTGCTTGGGGTCATAATAAAAATGTACATGTATGCACTTTCCTGTGTATATTCTGGAGTGGAATTGCTGTGTCTTAGGATTCAGTCAGCTTTGGTAAGTACTGCCAATAACTCTGAGCTTTGATTACGTGAGGTAATTTTACTCAGAAGAAAAACTACAAATATCCCCCAATTTGGCAGTGGTTCAAATGACAGAATTCTGGTCTGGAGAGATGGTTCCGAGGTTAAACTGCACTTGCTGCTCTTGGAGAGCACCCACTTAGTGGCTCACCACAGCCTGTAACTGGAGTTCCAGAGGCCCCAATGCTCTCCTCTGACTTCTGCCGGCACCGGGCATTCCTGAAGTTGCATATACAGATGAGCGGGCAAAGCAGTTACTGACCCCACAGAACTCACGTTAGAAGGTAACTCTAGCAATGTTATGGTGGAAAATGGGAAAGCAAATAGAAGCATATGCAAAGGCTTTTAGTCACAGCACAAATCTTAACATAAGAAACTTGGAGTTACCCAGGCTGTGGTGGCCCATGCCTTTAACACCAGCACTCGGGAGGCAGAGGCAGGCAGATCTCTGTGAGTTGGAGGCCAGCCTGATCTACAGAGCTACACAGAGAAACAGAGATACCCTGACTCGAAAGAAAAAGAAAAGAAAAAAACCAACAAACTTGGGGTTGCCTTTAACCACAGTGAATACTCTTGGGTCTGTTGTTGGAATCTAGACAAGTTTATAAGATGGGGTTCTACTAGTAGGATTAAGAAAAGGAGGTGTGGTGGGATATTTTGATCGCACACTGACACTCCTCAAACTGAAGTTACACCTTGAATCAGGGGGCGGAGCCAGTGACCAACTGACTGGAGTTGGCCATAGAGAAGCCAGCAACTTGGATAGAGAAGTCACCCAGGAAATTAAGGACAGGGACTGGAGTTTGAGCTCTCTTGGTTCTGGGATGAGGGAAGAGATGTGTCTCTTGTGTCTACAGCCAGAAAACAAGGCCAACCAGTTGCTTCTCAGCATTTCTGAGCTAGCAGGTTTTAACCCAGCCTTTGACTTCTTGATAAATAGAATGATAGAGATTTAATTTAAACCTGCACGTCATGCTCACTGAAGAGCCTGGGCCACAGGGACCAGAAGCCCTGACACCTGAGTGGCTGGCAGGGCGCGGAATGAGGAGCTGCGGGACAGCAAATGATAATTAAAATATCAGTAGATTCCTTAAAATATCAGTAGATTCCTGTGCAGCCACTAAGTCAACAGAAAAATATCAGGAGGAGAGAGTTGGGCTGTCATGGCACACACCTTTAATCCCAGCACTCAGGAGGCAGAGACAGTCAGATCTCTGTGAGTTTGAGGCCAGCCTGGTCTGCAGAGAAAAGTTCCAGGACAACTGGGACTACACAGAGAATCCCTGTCTCAAAAAACAAACAAACAAAAAAAAAAAAAAAAAAAAAAAAAAGAAAAGAATAGAAGAGGAGAAGTTAAGGAGGGTAGTAGTGTCCACTTCTATATTGGATTGTCAATGTTCCACTAGCCAGAGGCATCAAGCTGTTTCTTTTGTTTTTAGAGACTTGTCGGAACTTATCTTCTGCTATACCCAATTAGTTAACGTAGAAGCAACTTTTCTCCCTGAGGAAGAGACAAAGGCCAGCTCTCTCTGCTGGTGGTAAATCTAATCCTTGCTGGTTTTGTAGCACTATGGCAGCCAGTTAGTCTATTTGGCCCTGGAGGGTAAGGATGGTCAGAGGCACCCATTGGCGATCCTGGATGAACTGAGAGGAAAACTGAGGGTAAATAGGTAGGGAAGTAGTTAGTCCTGCCTCTCCAGTGATGATGCTTGTGGTTAAACCCAGGACTTCAAGAAAGGACAGGATCTGAACTATTTGTCATGTCATGCCACTATACACCGTGGGACGAGAATGCCAGTCTTCGCCAGGTCCCACTTCCTATGTTTATGTTTGTGAGCCTAGCCTCTGACGACTGAGCTGTCCCTCCAGCCCAACTACCGCCTCTAATTTTGGAGAAAGGAACACCATGACACAAGACCCAGACCACCCAGCAGGTAGGCAGTGGTAAGCTGGAGTGCCGCCGAGGATAGAGGCATTGTGGATGTTCAGACATAGGGTCTGGGTAGTAATGTTCAGAGTCAAAGTATTACAGTCGGAGGGAATCCAGTGTGCCCATAAAATATGTCCCAAGGAGTCAAAGCAGTCTGCAAAGAGAATAAACGGTGGTAGTGTTAGGAGCAGTTAATTAGAGGCAAGGTGACAGCGTCTAGTAATCCAATGGGTGAGGCTAGGAATGATGGTTGTAATTTTGACCCAGGAGAGACACAAAACCAGCATTCTGATGGGAGATGTCATTCTGTAAATATGTCTCTCCTATTGGTAAGCGAACAAAGCACTGTTGGCCAATAGGAAAGCAAGATAGGCGGGACTAGGAGACTAGGAGGAGAGAGGAAGAAGTAGGGAGGAGATTCAAGATGTAGGGCAGGGAGAGCAGAATGCCGGCCCCTCTCTCTGGTAAGATGTGACCACGTGGAAACACTTAGATTAATAGAAATGGGTTAATATTTAAGACAGAGCTAGCCAATAAGAAACACTAGTAACAGGCCAACAGCTTTATCACTAATACAGAGATTCTCTTTTAGAGTACTTTGAGGCAATAACTTGTTCAGCCTAGGCTGCTTTCAAAATCTCTTGCCTCGGGGTCTCAAGATATGGTGTGGACATAAATGTGCCCCAACAGGGTGCCTGTGTCTGAACATGTGGTTTCCAGCATTTACTGAAGGCAGGGTGGGGGTGGGGTTTGTGGAACCTTGAAGAGGACTTGTTTGAAGCTAACCCAGTGAGCAGAGGACAAGAGCTTGCCAACAGTTCCTTGGAGCTTACTGTACAGCCTCCAAATGTATGAGTGAGCTGTTGGAGACTGTGCTGTGGGAGGAACAGGCTAGGGGACCTCAGTAGGAGTGCAACTAAACAGGAAGGAGACACATCCTTTACCAGTTCTCCATCATTTACAAAAGCTTACCGCTGTCCCAGAAGGAATACATCTTTTAAAGATTTATTATGTATTATTATAGCGGTAAATAAGGATCAGGATAAACAAATAGGCCGAATAGATGTTTATTTAGGGAGAAATAACTTACAACCTAGACAGATGAACACCAGGAAATTCAACCCGATCCTCTCCTGTCCGAGTCACGCCAGAAAAAAAGAGAGAGCGCCTTCCTGGCCCCCTCCGACCTCCTTCCTCAGGTCACCTCCGCCCATCGCTCCACCCCCAATGGGCGTGGTCAGTGCTACATATTATGTATACAGCGTTCTGCCTGCATGCAGGCCAGAAGAGGGCACCAGATCTCATTACAGATGGTTGTGAGCCACCATGTGGTTGCTGGGAGTTGAACGAAGAGCAGCCAGTGCTCATAACCACTGAGCCATCTCTCCAGCCCCCAGGAGAAGTATTTATGGAGTCCAGTTTCCATACTGCAAGACAGGAAAGGAAGGAGCTGGAGCTGATAGGCAGCAAATTGATAATGGAAAGCATATTTTATTTCTTTTGATTTTCACACACGGGGTTTCTCTGAGTAGCCCTGGCTGTCCTCAAACTCAGAGATGCAGCTGCCTCTGCCTCCTGGGTGCTGGAATTAAAGGTGTGTGCCATCACGCCTGACTTATTGACGTGTTTTTTTATGTTTTTGTTTGTTTGTTTTTTAATCTACAGGGAATTTCAGGGAAGCCAGGACTACCTGGAGAGACCAGTCTCAAAAACCAAAAATTGGCATCTAGATGGGCACTCACTCTACTGACAGCTGGCTGTATTGTGGGGCACTGGAGGCCGGGAGTCTTTTGAGGAAGACAATGAGACCCTGCTTGGTTGAAGTCGACTGTTCATAGTCTGTTGTCCTCAGGGAGTGTTTCAACGGTCTCCAAAACATACTGGCACTGCAGAAATGAAGCTCTGCCCCATTAGCCGATCAGTATCACACTAAATCAAGGCAGCACCGTCCTATGAAGGATGACTTCAAATCCATCACAGTCCACATCGCAGGTAATCACGGTCACTCAGAAGGTCCTGCACGTACTGAATCGAGGCCTCATCACACAAACACACGCACATGCACAAGCCTGAACTCCACGTCCTCTATGCCCTGGGAGACCTCAGCTCGCTGACGCCACAATCACAACCCAATTCTGCAGTTTGGACGTGGCGCGGTGGTCTGTGGGAAATGTAGTTCAAGGTCCGCAAACCCTGGATGTCGGGTAAGTGGCTGTAGCCCGCAGCCCCGGGAAAGTGCTGCAGACACCCCTGGGAGAGGACCTCACCGGAATGCGCAGGCGCGCACGAGGCTAGCCAGTGGTCGAAGGAGAGCCTGGTGGGTCCTGGTGGGTGTGGAATGGGCGGGTGATGGGCGATCCCTGCTGGGGATGCTGAAGGGGAAGGTGGGAGTCTGGGTTAGGACAGAAGAACGAGGCGAGAGGGTTAAAGGCAGAGATCAGGAGGAATGCAAGTAGCCAGGAGCCTGGAGGCGCACCGGGGAGGGAGGCGAGGCCGGCGCGCGCCCGAGGGCAGGAGTTGTGGCTTTTATGGATTCTTCTCCCTGGAGACTCCACGTGTGTGTGTCTCTTTGCTCCTGTCATTATAAGCAGGGTTTAGTGTTTTACCGATGGTTAACCAGAATTGAAGAGGGAAAATGCCTGTGTCTGGGTTTTAAAGTGAGTCGATTTGTTTGAGACTGTAGGATTTTGCAGAGTAAACGGGGTTGTGGGAGGATTTTTATTACGTGTCGAGAGTCTAAGATTGTGCTTGCCTTGGGGACCTCTAGGATGTTGACTACAATGAGCCATACAGTTTGATTAAGTCTGATTTTGAAGTATTAAGTTGCCATTATGGGACTTGAGAAAACCTCAGTCTCAGCTACTTAACATTGCTTAAACTTTTCTGAATAGTTGCTGTGAGCGTTAGGATGGATCAGATGGACATGGGTTCTGGCACCGAATACTAAGTGTTAGAGTTCGGATGGAAAGGTATTCTGGCACTGGGAAGCCAAGGAATAC